GACATTTGTGGAGTGTGCTCCATGTTAGTCTGAGTAAGAAAATCTGTAAGAGAGAAGGCAACTAAGGGCTCTTGTTTCCATTGTTACGAAACAGTTGAAGCAAAACTAAAGAGCCCAAATATTATTTTAGTTTAACAACAGTTTGAAATAATGGATATATAATATGGTGTACAGGAATGGGGTATTTAGTGGGGTATTTAAGTTTTCTCTAAGTATTTAAAGTTTCCAAGTTTACCTTTTATTTTCAGCTTTTTTAAACATACATTACTAGTATGATCAATACACCTTGAGGAGTCTGCACAGATTTTTCTGAGATCCAAAGGAATGTCAATTATTGGTGTGCTTTAGCTTATTAGGAATTTTATAAAGAATCTTTGACCTTTGTGTATATATATACACACACTTATTTTTGCCATATCATGTACTTTAAGCAAGAAATACTGTTTCTATTGCTTTTCCTTAAAATACTGTTAATTATATCTGTTTCTCTAGGAAACAAGCAACTGGCAGATTTTTTTCATACACTTTTTATAGTACATAAAGCTTGTTTTCTCTGCTTAGCCTGAGATTCCTACTACTTGCACTAGTCTTGTATTTATTAGTGTAAGACTGTTTGTGCCACTAGTTTTATTTTGTTCATTTGAAATAACTGTAGGAACTTTAAAAAAGTTAAAAATAATACTTGTCAGTAATTAAGAGAAATCTTCAAAACAGAAGTATGTAGTCATGTGTGGTAATGCAGTCCCTAGTCCTCAAACTAGTTCTGACGGTACAAGGAGGTTTTAAGCATACATTATGAGATCAGCATTGGTCTCTAGCAAACACTTAAAGAACAGGTAATGGAAAAGGGAGGGCACCAACAGTAGCACCTGCAGTTTTCAAACAAAAGCAGTAAAATCTGTATGACTGTCGCCAAAGTGATTGTGACAAATGCTGCAAAGAGGCCACATTTTCAGATTCATCGCCATCTGTCACAGGAAATCCACAAGATCTGGACTGGGAACTTTAGGTAAGGGCTTCAGGAATCTTGTTCCTGACATTTCTGCCCGCTGCAGATGCGCACAACATAATGGTTGTTGAATGCAACTGCATGGGGTGGAGCAAAGCACGCGTGGAGTGTGGGAACTATTGGGAAATGGGGAGAAAACAAGGTTGGAGGACAGCACAAGAAAGAGCATCGAGGACAGAACTCTAGCACAGCTGTGTTGGACAGGAGAAGGAGAAGGTGTTACAGAATAAAACTAGTCAGAGATGGTGCTGGTGGCAACCAGGGCACACAGCCTGGGTTGCTGGTTGGAGAAGAAAAAAAAAAGGACTACTGAGTGATGTGGTAATACCAACACACTGCTCTGGTTTCACTCATACAACCTCAAAAGGGAAAGGGCCGTTAACGGGCCCCTGCGCTGCTTGTATCTGTGGGACAGGCAAAATGTGAACATGCCCTCTAAAAAAAGAGAAGATGGAGCCCAGTTAGGTACGCGTAGGGTAACTCAGAAAATGGAAGGTTCCGTAAGACACGCTGTATCAGACAATCCACCCACCCCCCTAGGTACGCAGAGGGATAGTAACAGACGCCCAGTCCCTGGTTTTGCATTGCATCTTGTTTGATCTTAGCACTGAGTTTCAACATCTTGTGTGCTTTAAAGCTGTGATAGTCCAAAATGCATTTTAAGTACAAATCAAAAACAAATCTGTCCTTTTTTTTTTCTTTTCCTTTCCCCCAAATTGATCTCTAAACGTGGACAGATGTCCATGGATCTGAAAAATGCACCAAAGCTACTAGTTTTCCAAAGCATCAAAAAGCAATAATTCATCTATAGCCCAGACGAATCACAAGGCTCCAGTGAAACAAGAATCAGCTACTGAGCAAAACAGGAAATGTAATTTGTTGGGACAAAAAAAGTAGGTGTGGATAATTAAGAATGTGTTATTTTACTAGTTTATAAGAGTTTTAAAAGATTTTGTTTAATGTATTTGTGATTACAATTAATATAAAGGGTCAGATTCTGCTTGTGAGTTTAGACCTTTGTGGAGCAGTATCACATAAGAAAGTTTTGTTATCTAATATTCAGTAGTTAGTCTGACCTTTAGAACTGGTACTAACTAGTAGCCTTATGGCAGAAACCAAAACTGTTTACCTATCGCCAGGCTGTAAATAAACTCTTCCTACACTAAAGTCATCTTAAATAAGAAGTAGCTTTGCAGTCTTGTCTTTCTATGTATAAGTGGTACTATGTTCAAAACTTTGCAACTCCTCGAAAACACCTTGGACTAATGATAACTATACACTTTGTGGAGAAAAAAGATGGTTTGATAAGTAGAAAAATACAAAAAGAACCCATTTTTTCTGCAGCTCAGTCCATGAAGTGATGAAAACAAGTAAAGCCTGCATTATACTTTTCTGTGAGGGGGGATGCCTTACCCACAGAAATTGAACTGATGCCACGGAAAAGCTTTGAGGAGGAAGGATGCTTAGTATTGTGGAGACACCTGTGGATCTCAAGGCATATGTGGCAGAGAGTAGTCCTCCCTTCCACTAACTTGCTTAAGAGTGCTATTAATGATTTGTGTCTGTGTGGAGAATAATAGAAGTGGAGGTTTGTTACTGACTTTGAAACATGCCTCCTAGCTGAGCAAAGGAGTTGTTTGGCAAAATGAGATTAACTTTTTTTAAATAGCCTCCAAGCTTGAGATGTCAACTACTTTAGTTACTGTTCCTTCATATTATGAGTTTGTGTTTACATGATAGTATGTAAAGATACAGATAAAACTTTCTAAGGAAAGGGAGAAAAATATACTCTGATGTATCTGCTTATTAGTATTGGTAATAACATTCACCCATCTTTCGCAGGTGAATGTCATTATGTAATAACTAACTTGTTCTTCATTTTCTTGATTTTACAATTGACAGGTTGAATCCCTGGCATTTCTCCTGGTTAGATCAAAGGATTTACCTATTTTCTAACTTTTATTTGTCCTAATACCATATGCAGTTGTTTCCACGATTCTATCCCTGAACACAAGATGTATGGATAAGATTCCTCTCCATAGCTCCGTGTTTCAAAATAAGACAAAAAGTAATCTAACAGTTATTGGGTGTTAAAAACATTCTGCATTGAAGCTGGGCTAGTTCAGATTTATTTTAGGAAGTCTGGCAGAAAATACTTAAAGAAATGTTGAAGAATTTAGCATAAAGTGAGGATGCTGAATTTCGTATTATCTCTGCCCTTGACATTGGAAAAGTCTTTTCTAGTGTCTGGCTGGAATCCTCCCTTGTTGCAAAGGTTACAAATTATGTCTTATTTATCCACACTGGATAGAGAGAATGGCTTGTAGCCACTTTTTATGAAACTGAATAGCTCCATCACATTTTCTTGCAGTTGTCTTTTCTTTAAATAATCCAAACACCTTTTAGCTGTTCTTGCAAATTGAGTTTTCTAGGTCCTTGCTCATCCATGTTGCTCTTCTCTGGGCTCTTAAAAGAAGCACCCATATGTCTTCGTGGTGTCCTTAGTTAAATGCAGTATTCTAGCAACAGTGATTATTTCAGGTGTTTTATAAACAATAATTCTATTTATAAATTCCAATATGTCGTTTGTCTTTTTTCAAGTGTGACAGGGATGACATGCTTAGTTTGTGATCCACTACAACCCCTACATTTTCTACAGAACTATCCATCTAGCTATTCACAACTTGCCATCTGTTGCTGTAGTTAATTACTCCCGCATGACTTCGTAATTCCGCTCTTTCCTTTAAATTTTATCCTATTTTTAGACTATTCAGCTAATTTTCCAAGATTATTTTAATGTTCAAGATTGTACACTGTCATGGTTGTTGCTCCTACATTACTGTCTTCCATACTGTCTTCTATTACCCAAGACATTAATCAAAATATTGAACAATATCATACCCGTAATGAAGCTGTATGACTCTGCTCAATACATTTTTCCAGTTTGACAGTGAAGCATTAATAACTTATTTGTATATTTTTTCCACCCATTTTTACATTTATCTTGATCACATTTCCCTTGCTTGCTTGTGAGAATGACATGCAAAACAGTGTCCACTGTCAGTGCTTTCAAAACACTAAGATGTTTAGCATTTATTGCTTTTCCTCACTGACTCTCTCCACGAGATGTGTATTTTGTCAGAGTTAAAATATCTTGGTTTGACAGCATTTGTTACTGACAGATCCATATGGGTCATTAGATATCGCTTTGTCCTAAGTCACATTTTTGTCTCAGGTAAAGGTTGAGGACAGAATGTAAATTAGTCCTTTTGTTTTCTTATGTACCAGTCTTCTAGAAATGCAGATAGTTTGGAAGTACTTTTTTGTTTTTGTTGATTTTTTGTTTTTATTTTGGTGCGTGGTGAAATTCCCAAAGTATTTGTGGGAATTAGAAGTACACCTAGGCAAAAAGGGAGGGAATAAACCCATATATGAGAGGTGAACACAACGAAAATCCCAAGAAATCAGTGTAGCTTAAAGTAAGTTTATCAGTGTTATTAATAAGACATTTTACTTGAATTCCTATAAAAGCACCTGCAACCTATCTGCATTTATAAAGCTTACATGTGTATAGCTATGTATATATCAAGTCATGCTAAAATGTACACCGTAGATCTACAGCTGCACACATAAAAGGGCTGCCGCTGCCAATACAGGCAATTGTGTACTGAGTCAACTCTTGAAAAATAAGCTACAGCTGTTGTGTTTTGTTCTGTAACAACAAATTCAGTATCTGCTAACTATATGCTGCTATGAATAATTCACAGCTGATGCACATGGACTTTTATATAATGACTTCCAGTAGGGGGTAACCTTTATTTATTGTCCATATTTGCCAGGTTAAGCCAGTTACTGCAAGTACTCTGGAAGGGGAATACCTTAGCCAAAGGACAATTATTGTTATACTCCCATGAATTTTCATGTATGAAACATAAAATCCACTGCTTTGCTATGCAGTCAAATGTCATTACTGCTCTCAAAAAGCTTACCTTTATCCTTCCATGCACATTGGGCTTACTGCCAACCGAGTAAGAAGCCTGGCACATCTTTTATAATCTGTCATGAAAAAAATAGCATAAATAGATTACTAAAGTAACCGATTTTGCCTTTAAAAAAATCAAAATTTATGATTGTGTGCAAATTATTGTCGTAATACAGCTCAGTGAACACCTTAGTTTGCAACAGTGTAGAAATCAGCTTAGAGTTAGAAATCGAGGGTGTAAAAATTGCGTAACTGAAAGCCATGTCTAATGGCACATGTAACTATGCAACTGACTTCTGCATAGGTACTGTCTATAAACAAGTAGCATGGATGTGCTTGGAAGCTTTCCAAGTGTATGTATGTATGAAAATTTATACATCTGTGTCTGTGCTTAACTGTGGGATCTAAACATGTGACTGGTATTTCCATACTGGAGGAGGAATAAGTAGTGCTCATCCATCTTTGAAATCCAGCTCTCAGTGAGCAAGTCTGTCAATATTAAGTAATGCAACTCTCCAATAAATTTTCTTCCTGGAAAAACTGTTAAATTAGACAAATAACACTTCCTAGTCATAGGAATGTTAAGTCCAGCATGAGTAGGTGACCGCACCATACAAATTCATTCATAATTGTATTTTCATCTTAAAATTAGTAAATTGTTTCTTCTACAGTAGTCTTACTGTTAGTAGTTCTTATTTAGGTACCTTCTGCTTTTTTGATGCATTCATAATAAGGGGCAGAACCAATGCAAAACTACAAAATTAATCAAGATATTTTTTTTCCTTTAACATGGCAAACTGAAAGCAAATTTTGTGGATGTTGGTTATGGACAGATAGCAGAGTAAATTACTTTTTAGGTGCCAATGCTACTATGCTGCACAAAGTACTAGAAGTTACGCTAACTAAATGCTTTTGTACTGACTACCCTGTGTTGCAGCATGATAGATGCTCTTAATTTCTTTGTTGTTTGGCCTTTCAATTTCTACATAGAATGAACAGCATTACCTGAAATCAGGATATTATCAAAAAGTAACATCATACTGTGCATGAAGAATTGAAGCAGGCTGTTTACTTCATTTTTCTAAAAGAAAGTTACTTTAACAAGATGCTGGTCAGTCTAGTCCGGTGACTGATGCTGATTTTCGTTAGGCATTGTTTCATTAACGTGTAACTACATCTAATGTTTCCTAGAGATGCAGTGTTAACAATCCCTAACTCACAGCACAGACAGGCTATAATTGCCATTCACATAAACTACCCTCGGTTATCCAGACATGATGTTGGTGGGTATGTCACCTGTCAGAAGGAAAAGGCTAATTCAGGCTTTAAGACCAACGAGGTTTTAGCTTCACAGCTTGGAGTACTCTTTAGTGCCGAGTCAAATGATGTTCATGTTGTGATCCTTATGAAACAGGTAATACGACCATTTGCTTGCTCAAAAGACTAGTCATGAACGACTTCCATCTCCATCCATGTAAATGGAACGTGATCTGGTTATCCATTAGATACAGATAAATCCTTATCTTTTGAAGGTATTCCTAATCTGAAGCTTTACAAATAGGGAAAAAGTCTGAAATTCTTACCAGATATGCCTTTAAAATATAGCGGGCTGAAATATTTATTAATACTTGAAACTTGGAATATGTAACTCGTTTCTATTCCCAGCTCTGCTACTGACCCAACTGGTTGACCTCAGACAAGTAAAATAAAGTGTGCTTCCATTCTGAAAAGGCTGTACTAAAATAGCATCTGCTTACTCAACAGGTCCACCTCAGTATGAACCTGGAGTCACATCTACTGACTGATAAATGTCAATGTTTCTTTTTTTTTTTTTTTAATTCTCTGTGCCGCCAAAACTGACAAGGTATCATTAGCTGAATTTGCTTATTTGTGTCCATCAGCACTTTTCTTTTTTTTCACTAAGCCTCAGGAAGTTAAGAATTTTGTAATTCACTGAAGACAAGGGTTGCAAAGATTCGCTGTCAACATCACTGGTAGATTGGTAACTGAACAGTCAAAATATAAAGTGTCTATAAAATATGTTCTATATAAATAATCGATGAAAGGGAAATAGCCCCACCTGGATTTCGGATCCGATCTTGAATTTGCAGCACTAGAAATCAGGTATGAGAGGTTTGCAAGAGAAGTCGTGTTTCTATGACAAGCAAACATCTTTGGTTTGGAACCAGGGAGGCGTACACATCAGTACCAACGGAAGCAGTGGTTACAGCCATTCTACACAGTGTATTCGCAGCGAAAAAGTTGTGCTTTCCTCACTGTAATGCCAATGCTGTTCTAGCAACGCTGTAAAGCGTACCTGGAACATTTTAGAGCACTCCAAATTCTTCATTGCAAGGAATGTATTCTAACATCGTATCACTACTGGTACCTCATAGAGCTACTCAATTTTAGAGTTTTCTGTTGTTTTATGAACATCTCTGGTTTTGGCACTTACATGCTGGGATGGTGCAGTCCCTTGTATTGTGATAAAGCCGATGAAAGTGTTTACTACATTTTGGGCTAAAGTAGAGTGGACCTGAAATACAAAGAAAAAATAAGTCATGTATCAGCACAGCTTGCAGGAAGAAGAGTGCAGCTTATGGTATGTACGTGAAATGATGGATACCGAAGCAAAATTAAAACATACCTGTTAAATGCTTTAAGAACTTGTCTTTCATCCTCAGATCTCTAGGAACTATTTCTGTTTGACAGAAAAAAAGAGGAGTCACTCTGCTGCACTGGAACTATGCTTGCCCAGCATAGTATGAGGAGAGGGAATAAACTCCGTCCAGCAAACATCACCTTGCTGCCTTGACAGATGCACAGAGGTCAAAAGTCCATTGCATACAGTAGGCCAAACTGCAAGCATTTGTTTTACATAAGAAGCCACTGTGAAATGCACTGTGAAACACACTGTGGTGATGAAACAAGCAATGTTAGGCGTGCAGTCATTAATGATGGTGACAGTTAACTAAGAGTCAGATTTTAGCTTTCCATGAATTACATTATCAAATTTACCTAGACTGAAATTATTCCAGAAATTTTAGTTCATGGCTGCTCAGAAATGGCACATTCCATTCCACTAGTGGTAAAGATCCAAAGATACATTAAAGCTTGGTTTAGTGTCTTCTAATTCTCTTATGCAAATGTATCCACTTTTCTGTCACAGGTATGTTTGCACAGGCACTGTCCAGCTGTAATCGTGAAACTGGACTGATCTCCTTACAGGAATCTTTTTTTCTTCCCCCTCTAGCAGTAAATAAAACTCACAGGAAATGATCCCAAGCAAATTGCTCTCTTCTGGCTCCCTGCGTTTGTGGTTTACCGCCTTGCGTTTTGTGTTCAGCAGATGGCAAAATGAAACTGGTTTACTGAAATCCATTTTAGCCCTAACCCTTGCTTGTCTTCCTGATTTCCAGCTATCTTTGATTGCTTTCCGTTATGAACTCTATGCTGATAGCTTAGTGCTGATTGTGCACGATACACTACATGGTGCTTTATTTATTTGACCATAAATGCCTGAGCAGCCTTTTTCATTCCCCCGGCACCTTTTATCAGATATAAAGCAGAGAGCATTTCCATCCAGATCTGATTCACTTGTGAGGTTAGACACTTCTCGAAAGTCATTCTTCATTTACTTCTAACTTTAGTCGGTGTAAGTAAAATTGACCTTATCATAGTTGACCTAATTATGTCATAAAGAGCATTAAAAACACGCATGCTTCACTCAGAAATTTCCCATGGGACGGGCTCACTGGGAAAATGATGCCAAAACTGAAATGAAAGACTCTAAGCAGTAGTTCCTTTTCAGAGTTGCTGGCAACAACTCCATTATAATCACAGAATGAAAAATCCTGCTTAGGAGTCAATGACACCACCAATAACCAATCTGCTCCAAAGCAGGTTTATTATTTACATAGATAACTGTTCAGCACAAACCAGATATTTCACACCAATATGCTGACACAGGGTGGCCAAAAGCTATGCCCGTGTTCCACACTGAGATTTAGAGTTATGCAGATCAGGGTTCCCTGCTTAGTCTGGCCTCTTTAACTTGTCAACATTTATAAAACAAAATGTTCTCACTGTGCTGATCTTAAGTGGAACAAAATTGTCTTCCTTTGTATATTCATTAATCATCCAGATGGAGAAGTAACATTTTCATGACAACCACCAACAAATGCAAATCATGAGGATATTTGAATATGAATGAGAATGAAGAAAAGGTACGATGAAGATTTATGAGATCGATAAAGGCAAAATAAATAGCATACTAGCAAAATGAAAGCCCGTTTGGAAAAAAGGTGAGCAGGCATCTGCTAGAAAATATCCAGAAAGTCGCTTTCAGTAGGAGGGGTAAGATGAGCAGCAGTAACGCTGCAGGGGTTTGGGAGTGACAGGGAACAGTAAATTAGACATGGCAGCAGGGGAAGCCAAAACAACTTTCAGCTGGATGCACAGCAGTACCTCGCGAGACCGAGCGGTAACTGTCCATCACCATGTGGCTTGGTACGACTGCTGCCGGACTGCTCTACACAGCCCTGAGCGTCTTACAAACCAGCCTGGGCTTTCACCGGAGGTTAGAGAAGAGCCATTCAAACGCGGAGGAGGAGGAGGACTGCAGGGGTGTCCCAAAGGGGTCGTAGCTTGTACAGTGATAGAGGAGGACTCTGCTTCGGTTCCCTTGTATTTCAAAGGCACTACCTCCGGAGTACCAAAAGGGGACTAACAAGCGGGGCGAAAAGTTTCACGGAGCTGAGCTGCAGGGAAGACTTCTAGAGATCTGTAAGGACATATACTATAGTCCTGCAGGGGAATTCTTGCTAGGGTCATTTGCAAGAAACACTTGAACCAAGCACATTTTAGAAAGTGGGAAACTTCCAGGGCAAAGAGCATTTTCATCCCTTATTTCTTTGATCTCAGCCCATTTCAGCCTTTCCTCTTATTAACAGGTTTTGTTCAAAGCCAACACACGAGAAGTCGGGCTTTCAGCCGAGTACATTATCCAGAGAGCAAGAGACTCTGAGATGCGAGTGGAGTTTTTCTATCCCAAATCTGCCGTCTGTGTCAGTTTCTGACACCAACGGGAACCTGCAGGTATTTCGAGCAGTGGATTCTTGATACAAAATTAGTAACCCGATGTGATGTCTGATTCACCAAGGCACCCTATCGGGGAGATCTTCCTAAGTCATGGACTGTGACTTACCAACTCTCTGCTCGTCCTGGTATCCTGCATAGTCGGCCACTTCCCTTCGATCCAGGCTATAGTCGTGCTTGGAGAAGTACTGCGCCCCACCGTCCTTCTCCAGGTGGTACCTCTTCAGTTCCTGAATGATCTCCATGATCAGGTTCAAGAGGCTTCGCCCGTCCTTCGGGTCCGCGGAGTCAGCTTTCCCTTTGCCATGTCCCG